ATATATATATATATATATATATATATATATATATATATAATTTTATATACTGTACATTAATATAATTTATATGCATTCGATGAAAAAGAAATAATGATGAAAAGATATTGCCAAAATATACCTCAAATATGGAGAAACTAAAATATTAATAATTTAATAATATTCATCTCTTTTTTATAACTTTTAAATGCTTAATTAGAAAATAACATAAAAACATCAGAAATATGGAACTTCGAGTTGAATTTATTATAGAATAGCAATTTTTTATACAGAATGAATTTGTAATATTTTCATCTTATACAATGCAATATATAATTTTATACACTTAAGTACAAAAAGATTAAAATACATATAGAAATTATGTGTAATTATTTTGACGAAAATGTCTGATGTATAAAGTGCTTGTACAACAAATTGAACACTGTTATTCTTAAATAGTTTTTGTTCGATATTTTGCGAGACTTTTCTTATATAGCACAGGATTTATAATACACGTACAAATGCTTGGACAGCATGTTTGAGATCAGCATTACAGTTTTCAAAATAAGATCTGAGTATCATAGGCAAAAATATGATGATTCAATTTTTGAACATACAAGAAAAATATTGAAGGAAATGCATTGTGAATGCAAACAATGATAATAAATGTGCACTTTAAAGGTTCATTACACTGAACAAATGATTAAATTTGGTACTTATTAATATTTTATTACATTAATATAATTATAAATCCTGTTATTGTAACAATATTAAAATATTACTTGATAAATTGCCAATCGATATGCCAGATATCATGATGATTTCGAATCTGACAAAATATTATCCTTTTTCAAAAGTTATTTATTGTAAGAAATCACTATGAAACCAACTTTTTTATATAAATGTAAGTCTGTGCTTATGTAAGGCCTGTTTATTAAAAATTAATAAGTATTTTACCTTAATATTTCCGAAAAGTATTGTCTGTACAATAAAATAATACAACAAATAAATGAATTATATAAGATTCTTCATATTATATTTTAAATATTCAAATAAAAATAAATATAAAATTATATATCACTTAATGAAAGATAAATTCTATATTATTCTCAAAGTGCAATTCCAGACTAATAAGATAAAATATATATAACATATATATCAAAAGTGAAATTCTGTAAAACAAAGTATTTGTTACAGATTGATTTCTTATGTACATACAAACTTATTATAGAAATCTTAATTTAAAAAATTTGACAAAAAGATCTTATAACTAAAATAATTATAATTACTAAAATATTGGGATAAATAATATATTTCATAGACAATAATTCTTCTCGCATTACAGATTAATCTTTATCACAGTAGTTTTAGATTTATGTTGTAATATACTTAGGGTTCTATTCTGCGAACCGGAGATTTTCTATGTATTTTGGATGTATTTATCAATCTATGCTATTTTCAATCTAAGACTATAAAATATATCAATCGATTGTATTTAAATAATATCAATTCTGTATAAATATATAAGGATTTTAGCAAGTTTTATTAAAACCAAAGTTAGCCAAAGAAGCAGTGAAACAGGAAGATGTGTTTAACTGATTGACTTTTCAACAGAGAAAGATAGCAAAATAGTTTAGAATGTTTTAATCTCTCTATAGTTTTGAATAGTTTTGATTTAGCAAATATATATATACTTCAAATATCTTTAGAAATATTCAGTTTACTATATATACAAACACAAGTATTTTAAAGCTACAACTTCAAGCTAATTCTATGTATAGAATACACTGTTTTCACAACTCTCAAGCAAAATATTATTTAATAGTCAGCGAAAGCCTTCAAAAACTAGAACATCAAAAACTAACAATTGAAATAATGGAAGAACAAAAAATGTATATGCTTTTGTCAAGTTATTCAGAATTATGTAACAATAGCACACTTAGCTTAGTAAATAAAGCGGCTATGCAAAATTTATCACAGATAAAAGGGTAAATTCTCGCGAATATATACAATTGAAAAAAAGAATATTCCAAGTACAAAAAATATTCAGAAAGCTAATAAGTGCTAGTAGATTTAGATAGATTACGAATACTATTTTTTTCGAACTCCCTCGAAACTTCCTTTTATCCGAATCGATTACATATATTATTAATAATATAGTAAAATGGCATATATCTAAGAACAGTAATTGAATGTGATTAAATACGTTTGTATGTAACATACCTTTGCAACATCTTATCGTAAATCGTGAGGTATGTTTGTCAATGATTTTATTTTAATAAGTATACAAAACAACGTGTACATATTTTTGGAAAGAAATATATTACAATAATACGATCCTTATTATATACGTGTGGATTTCCACACGATAATATACGAGATTGTCAATTCTGTATATTAGTAATCTTACTGCAGAAATATCTGACAAATATACACAAAATAACGTTGATAGAATTATCTCTATTATGTAAAAAATATCAGAAGACTAAGACATAAAAATCGACAGGTACTAAATAAAAGTGGAGATTAAAACATTGATTTTAAATGTTATCTAACTTATTCGGTCTTTTTTGGAAAACTTAATTAGATTTTTAGATATTCAATGAATTATATATCTCTGGAAGATATCAACGTAATTAAATTATATATAAGGGAAAAGTTAATCGTTATACTAGAAATTAAAAAATTTCGAATAATTCTCCCGTAAAAACATTCCATTAATATTAATTAGTATAAATTAAGAGTTATCGAATATAATATTATTCTACGTAATACTGCATTACATTATTGCAACAATGTAATCTACTAAAGTGCGACGTTTTGTTGCATGATTGTAATGATACAATTTTCATAAAGTTATATAGGAGGAAAATTTGCACAAATATTGCGTTCACGATTTATAATCTCGTGTTTCTAAATTAAAAATACGAAAAGGAACACGCAACACATTCACATATACGTATGAATTTTACATCCACATTTTTTGTCTGTATGTAAGATTAGTGACTCTAGGCACTTTTGTCCTTTCAGATATACATTGGAATGTAAAGAAATTTTTAAGATTGCAAATAAGTTGATTAAACTCGTTATTGTTTTATATTGTAAGACGTCGTATAAAAGACAAAAATAAGTAAGTCGTTATAGTGCACTTAACGTTAGTAACTTGGCAAGCTACATTGCCAATAAAGAGCCTACGCCTTCTGTTAAGAATTATATTCTCTGTGTAACTATTATAGTCACAGTTTGATTATATGTCATTTTAAATTTCGTCAGCTAATAATTTGTATATTGTTTTATCGTATAAGACTAAATATGACACTACGGTATCTTCATCTATTTGTGAAAATGTACTCTACGGAAGTGTAATACTAAACTATAATACAAATGTTTTCATACTGAAATTCTCTAATTATCACATAATTAACGAAACGAAGACAAACGAATAAACAGCTATAGGGAAGCGGGAAAGCTGCGCTGCAAACTTTCCAATTATCAATATGAGCAATAATATTTGATTGATCGAAAATTATATGAACAAATAGCAGACAGCTGTATACACGGCGTTTGCAATATTTATATTATTATGCGCGCAATAATCATCAATTATTGGAGAAATGATCTTCCATTGCAGATTATGAAAATAGATAAATTTATAACTCATTACGAAAATTATTATTAAGGAAACAGGACAAAAACTCGCAAACAAGATGCCCAACCCGTAGGAAGAAAAAATATTCTTATCGTACACCACAATAACTCTTGCGAACTCTTTAGAACTACTGTAGCACATTTTGCATTTCTAGCTTCTCTTAATTATTGTGTTTATTGCCATAAGGAGATATATGTAGAATCACTTTCATGTACATCTTGACCCAGGCATTGCTTCTCGAACCAATTATTAATATCATCAAACAACCGAGGAAGCCGAAGATCTGATGTACATAGTTATAAAATTGCATACTCATCACATATTAAATATCAATAATAACGACGAAGTAATAGAAGACAATAGATGGAAAATTGATCGAAGAATATAAGATGTAATATAAATTGATTTTCGTGAAAGATACAAGAAACGCGTTTTTCCAAGAACACGCTACTTGCAGGCTTAAGATACTCGTACCGTGTGTAAGAATCATCAATTTCGAAACAGCAGGAATACACATAATAATTATTAAACACATATCCAAGACGTAAGTTCTAATAATAGTGATATAAAAAGTTTGCTATTTTACAAGGAATATCTACTTCGTATGTGTGTGCAGCTTATACGAGATTTCCTTCTTTGTCATGGATTCTGTGATGCCTCGGTAGAAGAATGAAGTAAGATTCATCCCCTTAGGAGATGATGCATCTCATACTTTGTACTATACATACTGTGTTTAGATATATAGAATTGCGTTGTAAATTTGTCGCTGGATAACAAATTCAGATTTGCTTCTTGCGAGTTCTAGTGTAGAATAGGTATTTGGCACAGGCAAAATGGTTTTCTTCCATACAGTCGGAAGGATACTTTTTTTACAGTGATATCGTTGTGAACGTTATCCTTTCGTTCAATACCCACGATGTCACTCGTCGGAGATTATAATCGTAATTAACATTTTAGGGCAAGAATATAATGTCTATCTATTTTCTACAAATTTATCTTGTATGCTACGAAAGTTCCTGTTTGTCAAGTACTTGATTCTAAGTTATCTCTTGTCGATCTATAATTGCGCGTTTTTGGAATGACATTTGAGAAGTATTTCTTTCACTACTATCGGCTATCTAACGCGATCATGCTTCCTATTCCGGCGATATCGAACTCGATATTTCTACATGATCCGCGTAGCTCAGTTGTTCAGATCATTGATGGCTTGTAAGATGCGTTTAACGTGTCCCACCTTGGTGATGCCCAGCTCCTTTAGATCTCGGCGGGCTAGGGTCAATAGCTCCCTACCGCGTATATCGTGAGACACGAATTTCTCGGCGTACTCTCCCAGCTGCAGATTTTCTAGCCAGGTGCACACCTCCTGAACGCCCCACGTGGTGACCTGATCTCGCGCCGGATGGCCTGCGCCGCCCGAGTTGCCAGCGAAGCGACGGAACTTTAACCAGAATAACCCTCGATGACGATTTTTTTTATCTCCCTGTAGATCCAGAGTTCGAGATGTCGGTTAGTACACGGTTAGTCAGATTAGTAGGAAAGCGCTAGTTTATACGGCATACGTTAGAGACATGCTAATCATATGCAGGTGAAAAATTGCACTCGGGATTACGTGTGGTAACGGACTCGTCAGGCACATAAAGTAGCTCTCGAACGGATCTATGATCGTTTACGTTACGCGATAGTGGCTCAAAGTCGCGCAAATACACTCTTGGTATACATTAATGAGACAATATACGTAAGATATTCCATTACATATTTATTGCTGTATTTTAGCAAGATTCATATACATTCGCTAAAAGATACATCTCTCATGAGGCTCATATAAAATCACGAAAGTTCCCCTCTCGTTGTTACAGTGCTAATTAAACAATGCAACAATGCAACTCACGAAACCATGAGAAGCAGCGAAGGCGCGGTAACAAAAGCAAAAGTTAAATTGCATACAGTTCAAGTGCATACTCGGACGTGTCGTTTCTGCTAAGATGAACTGAAGACACGGCATCGCTAAGTATCGCATGATGTACGTTATGTCTCACTGTGTACTATATAATAGAGCCGCAAGCGTGAATAAATAAACAAAAGACATCTAAACGGCAATTCCATCTCTCAGCAGACGTAATACATGCACGCACGCACATACATACATACGTGTAATTAAAAAAAAAAAAAATACAGCATCGGTATTCCGCTACATTGCAAAACTAAGTCCTCTAAATGCTAATTCTATTTCTCTAATGTCATAAGCATTAATACTTAAAAGCATATTACCAGCACTGGGATTGAGCACTCAATCAATCCGAAACAAAGCATAGGATAATTTATTAATTATCATTTGAAAACAACATTTACGCATAATGAATTGTAAACTTCTCTTGAAAGAGATTGTAAATATTCGTGTATAACGTATGTAAAGAGAGGTGCTTTCATAATATTACACATCTTTGTGTTGTCCGACTTTCTAGCTAATGTTCTCAAGATTTATTTACAAGAATAATAACGCTCTATAATAATCTTTCTTTGAAATACACTGGCAAGATGGAATATCGAATACGAAATAGAATATAGTAAAGTAATGGAAGACTTTATCGTTAATCTTGTCGTCAGTGTGCTTCGCTCGATTTTAATAATCTTGTGATAAGTTATGATAAGCTATAGGCTAAACAGAAAAATTCATGATACCTCCCAAAATCTATATAAATCAGATTCTTTAAATTATCTTATGTTTATGTGAATGAATAGTTGAATCTTTACGAAATTCTTTTTCTCTTTTAAATATTAAATTCAATTAATATTTGCTATTCCAACAATTAAATGTATAATAATAAATATCACAAAATGTATATGTAAACTTCATCACAATGCAAAATACATGACAAAAAACATGAGATAGTTAATTTTATAAATCGTATCTTTAAATAATTGACTTTGAACAGCATTGCATTAAGCATAAGAAAGAACTATACCTGTTCATCTATGGGAATATTTTGCAAGTAAACCAGTCCGGTGCCTCCTTCGTCAAAGGTACACTTTCGTAATTCCTGTTCCATACTAGCTAGAGACAGGGATAACTTGTTTTCTAAATCTTCACGTAATTTCTATGTTACACAGAAGAAAAATTGTTACTTTAATTCCTTACAATATTCTGTTAAAATAATAATACTCGATATGCTCACCAAGTTGTGGGCTTTATCGCGCAACAATTCACAAGATTCTTCATACAATTGCCGTGCGCTTGATACCAACTCGGTTACCATAGGTCTTAGGCTTATCTATTAATAGATAGAAAGTAAGAAAATAAACGGATTGTCACGATAAATTTCTAGATGATTCTTCATGATTATAACTTACCCCTTGTAAAATTTTACCATCCGGATGCACTTGTTCAAGCGCATTCGCCGTTCGCGAGGCGACTTGATACAAATCTGGTTCCAGGCTTGGATGTGATATAATTAATAATTTTACCCATTTGACCAAGGTCGTTACGGCTTCAATAAAACTGAACAGAATATTGAGTTCCTCGTCGTTTAACTGGGGAGGTTTATTACATATTTGCAATTGAACTCGAGGTTGCGATTGCGATGCACTGCTCAAAGTGGAAGTGGATTGAGTTACAGCACTCAATGTATTGCGCTGCTTCTCTTCCCATGCTCTCAACGAAGTTTCAAGTGCCTAAGATATAAAATATTTTTGACATATACAAATCATAGCTACTTTCATCGTTCAAATATCTTAATAGATATTTACCCTATTTCTATAAAGCATTTGCATGCGATTCTTGTGTATGATCCTTATAATACCGGGTGGTTGAATCCAAGCTTCACCGTCGACTTGTATAGGAACACCCTCTTCTCCTAAGATATTAATTTGGACTGTTTGACATTGTGCTATTCTGTGATGCTGCAAGTTGATAAGTCGCGAAGCAGCCATTTGAACAGATCCGAAAACTGCCACTACTTCCAAAATGCGATCATCGAACGACGGTGCCAAGAACAAATCTCCTTCCTTCGTACCTCCCCAGAAATTTGTACCACCCATGAAGCTGTCATTAAGAAAATATAAAATTTTGCAAATTGTGAAAAATTGCATACAAGTGCATTATCTTTTTATAAATACCTTGGTATATTTAACACGACGATTCCTTGCAGAGAAGGCAATGGTATTCTTTGACCGTCGCACTCTAACTGAACCCTCTGTTCGAGATTTTTGTATGTCTTTTGTATCCACTGTTTAGACCCCAAAACACCATACCACATGTAATTCTTAGCGCGCGACCGGCATTTCTCAGGATGCTCTTCTCTCTTGTTATGAAAATCCAGACTGATTTTCGCGTCTATACCGATACCAAAATAGTTGTTCATGACGCATCGTTCAAAGTAACCTTCCCTGTAATATAGAAAAAAAGATTTATCAAATCTGTACGCATATTACTAATGTGCTAATTATATAATAATATATAAATTACATCAATGTTTCATCTGGATCCATTAAAGGTGACACTGCTGCACACAGAGCATCCGCATTTGCCAGCAATGCTTGACTGATGAGACCAGCTCCACCACTTACATCTACACGATTAGAAAAAGCACGTAAAATAATTATATAAAACGAGAAAAATTATATTTCGACATTGTTTTTGGCTTACTTGGCCACATAGGTAATCGGACTAAAGGATTTATTATGGGAAGTTTTTTTACGTCCTCTGTTTTATCTACAGATTTTGCTCTTTCATGGCGCAAGCTTACACTCGAGCCACCCAGACGAGCGGTAGTTGCCGCCAACGACACAACTTCTGATGCTTTTAACAAACTGCCACTGCTTATACGTCGCGTAGCTTGCGGAGAAAAGCCCGAATCAGGCAGTTCCACGCTTACTATTAATTTTAGAAGAATGTTATTAATATGAATATAATTATTATGTAATAATTCATAATCTTCAATTAATCAAACTTACATCTTTCCATGCTGTTGCCGCTACTATATTGCTTGTCATTCGGATCCAATTTATAATCTAAATTAAATTTGTGATGACTGTCAATTGACAACGATGGGCTTGGTGGATCAACGATAACACTAATTTGCGGCGGAAAATTCGTAGGGCACTTTTCGTTAGCTTGCGTGTTGTCTGAGGAAACGGTAAAACAGCATACTGGTTTCAGCAAATCAGATGTCCTTTCCTTTTCAACAGTTTCGAATCTAGTTGCAATTACTACATTTGTCTCTACAGACTGCTGAGTCGATTTAATTCCCGAGACTCGTACGCACGTCGTCAAGCCTTCCGTTTTATATTTATTTAGAATACTCTGATAGTAAAAAGATATATAAAGCTATAGTATAATTTTAATTTCAACCAACTGTTAAATTAAAATTAAAATTAAAATTAAATTAAAAAATTAAATTAAATTAAAATTAAAATTTACCTCTTTATCCATCTTTATGTTTCTTGTGCCCTTTTTGAACGATTGTCTCCCGATGTCGTTCCCTTCGCTAAATTGGGCTAAGCCGCAATATCTATGCGATTCTTCGATCTCTAAACCTTCTCTGACGGAATCGTACTTCTCACCCATTATCGCACTGATCACATCCTGTCCGAGGGAACTTAAATCCTCCAAGCCGCTTTCTGAATGTTGAGTTTCGCTGGAAAGCATATCGGAATTGTCTGGCGAATCGATATGTCCGATTTCCGAGCTCTCCGATTTTTTTGTAGAGTCAAATATATCACTGTCTATATGCCCTGAAAAGTGTGAGAGAAATTATCTAATAATTAGATGAAATACATACAACATAACACTTCTACAATGCTTATTGCATTGGCGAGTATCTACTAACCGATTTCACTCTCACTATTTCGAACGGTATAACTCTTAGAATCAAATGTTTCAGAAACCATGCTATCTGTACTGATAATGCTGTTAGTGCAGCTACCTCTGGGTTCTAATTTGGCTATTATAGGTTTTTGCACATGCTCTGGCGAAATATTTCTAGAATGAAGTGAATCTGTGTCGGGAGAAATGATAGTGTCCTGCATAGTTGCATCGTCTGATGGTGTACTTGTATCCAAAATAGTTTTTGTCACAGTTATTGGAATGTCGGAGGAAACTTCTATTTCCGTAGGTTCGGAAGATAGGAAATTATCGTTGTTAATTGCCTGAGATTCTTGTTGACCGCCGACAGTTTGTGTTGCAATCACATCAAAATCGAGAACTCTGAAATTACAGTATACATACTCATATTAGATACATGTAATTTTAAAAAACCAGATATTAATGCACATCATCAGATTTATGTTAAAATTTACCCTTGTGGGAGATTTTCGCTGTTTCGTCTACTATCGGCGAAACCATCGGGTGCAGGTAGAGTCAGTAGCTCTTCAGATTGTGAGTCTCTCCTTAAATCTGGCATTGGACTCAAAGATGCTACGTTAGGTGTGGGACTTGGGCAAGGTAAAATCTCTATGGGACTGCTAGGTTCTATAATTGATATTAAATTTATGTTGTCAATCTGGTCTGTTGGCGATAAACCAGGAATATCCAATTGTTGCTTTTTGCCTAAATTGTACATTATAACAATACAAATATTTTTTAAAGATAAAATATAAACATGCAATTCACTGCTTTGTCATTATTGAAGAACTTACTTGTCACATTTATCGGAGAATTATCGGGTATTATGGCGATGTTCGGCGTCTTGTTACTTTGCTTCTCATCTGAAGGATTATTTTGCTCATCAACAGCTGTTTCTGTGTGTTCCACTAATCTCCTAATAGCTCTTTTCAAACTATCTGCCCTATAAGTATTATTAAAATATATTTACTTCTCGGTCTATATTTCATTTTAATTTGACTATAAAGGGTATACACTACATACCTAGACATCACAACATCTTTCTCCATGTAACATCTTCTTCTTTTAACTTTTTTTAAATTTGTCATTTCTTTTTCTGGCTTTTCTAAAGCACCTTTTTCTTGGACGCTGCTAAAAGTATCAGTTTTTAGAGTGCCAATGTCAATATCTTCTGTGTTATCGGATAAATAGCTCTCTTCTTTTGACAATGTTTGTAACAATAGATCAAGTTTTTGCTGAAGTATTGCACACTTTTCTCCCAATTGTTGGTCCCCTGTGTTTAGACTGGCTTCCAGTATATGTGTTGCAAAATCTTTTACTGTTTCGCATAAAACTCTGCGGATGAAAATTCCGGTTTATATGCCAAAACTTAGAGCTTGCGCAATTATTCATGTATATATGTATACACACATGATTATATTACTCACTTGGCACTAGATATAACTACGTTTTCCTGATCAGATTGCAAAATGTTCGTTATATGAGCAAGAACACTGTCTTCGTACTGATGAGCTACGCTTGATTTTTATAGCCGGGTCGGGCTGGGTTACTTTGTGACATGGTGGCAGAGATATGCTACGTTCGAATGTCATAATGCTCCATCGATCTAGCATCTTTGTGCCCGCTTTTTCGTACTTTTCCAATAGCTGAGGTAAATGCGTGTCATCATCACATGACGATCCCCAGCCTAATACGCGTGCTAAGTCATTTCCTGTTCCTAAAGGTAGTACTCCAACTTGACATTGTTTCTGTAAGTTTAAAAAATATAAATATTTCTCTTTTTATTATACAAAATATGCAGTACGTTTAATAGTAAATATTAATATTTCCTAGATAGATAGTTTCCTACAGATTAGATAGATAATCATGCATAGAACACTTACCGCCTGCAAAAAAAGTTAACGAAGCTGCGCTTATATAAAGAAGCCTAAAGCACACACACCGGTTTCATCTGGAATAAAATCATAAAAGAGACACGCCATGCAGTTTATAATCGGAAATTTGAAAAAAATTAATACCATTAGCTGCAATATTATAGATTTGAATATCAGCATGATTTAAAGCATAGTTATACAGAATGATTTTTTTAAATATATATGTATCAATATTTCGAGAGAGAGAGAGAGAAAGAGAGAGAGAGAGAGAGAGAGAGAGAGGAGAGAGAGAGAG